GCTCAAGCAATCTTCCCCGCTGTTGGCCTTCCAAAGTGCTAGGACTGCAGGCGCCAGCAACTGTGCCCGGCTATTTTTCACTCCTTTTTCTTCTAATACAGTCACTGAGGACTGCAAATTCCCTTCTATACACCACTTGGGATCTACTCCACAAGCATGGATCTGCCGTGCCCGCTGCCATCCGGTTCTAACTCTTTTCTCACTTCCATTGATTTCTTCTATAACCCATGAGTTACGTCAAGTGCATTTCTGAAATTTCTTAAACACATGAGGTTTTGTTTGCTTTTTGGTATTGAGTTGTGGTCAGAAGATAGGATCTGTATGACACTCACACATTTTTTTTTTTTTTTTTTTTTTTTTTTGAGATGGAGTCTCGCTCTGTCGCCCAGGCTGGAGTGCAGTGGCATGATCTCGGCTCACTGCAGTCTCCGCCTCCTGGGTTCACGCCATTCTCCTGCCTCAGCCTCCCAAGTAGCTGGGACTACAGGCGCCCGCCACCACGCCTGGCGATTTTTGTATTTTGTTTAGTAGAGACAGGGTTTCACCCTGTTAGCCAGGATGGTCTCGATCTCCTGACCTCGTGATCCACCCACCTCAGCCTCCTAAAGTGCTGGGATTACAGGCATGAGCCACCACACCTGGCCATGACACTAATTCTTTGAAATGTACTGGCATTTGCTTTCTGGCCTATTCTGACAGGCTCCATGTGTGCCTGAAACTAATGTGATTTCCCAGCTGGGTGAGCCCCATTCCATAGACGTCCCTCCACTCAAGCCCAGGAACCAGCACCATCAAACCTCATGTATCCTTATTGTTTCCTTTTGAGTCACTTGACCAATTAACCACTAAGAGGATTACAGAGCCCTCTGCCTAGGATGGTGGGTTTGTGAATTTCTCCTTGCAGTTGGCTGGGTTTTGCTGCAGCTTATGGCTTTCGGAAACAGCTAACTTCATGGTGTTGCCCCATTCATGGGAGATCCTGTCCATCCTCGCGTGTCAAGCTTCCCGCTGCATGTGAACTCACTGCTACGCCCTCCACCTGAGCCCACTGCCTCAGTCACCTGGCTCACTGGACCTTCCGGGCCTTCACAACGGCTGTCCTGAGTGGAACTCACTTATTTCCCTGGATCCCATGCCCTCACCTCCTGAGTCTAGAGCAGCACCCAACAATTGGCCAATCCACCTCTGTCAGAGAAGAAAGTGCATGCTTGCCCAAGACCTGGGGTTTTCTGGTACAGAGGGGTCCGTGTCTGCATCTGCCAGGCCAGGCATCAGAAGGCCACGGGGCCAGCATGGGGCTCAGGGTCCTCAAGGGAGACCTCCCTCCCTCCACCCAAAGGCCAGCCAAGGGGAGAGCTGAAATTCCTGCTCTTGCTGAGGGCGGGGGTCCCATCTGCAGGGTTGGAACAGCGACGGTGCCCCTCCAGTGTCACCCATGCCCCCAGCATCTGCCCCTCCTCTCTCCAGGGCACTGGTTGAGCTGCACATGCAGCGGCGAGCACGAGAACGAGGAGCTCCCGCTGCACCAGAGGATGGGCAGGCCCCTCTCCTGGTGAGGGCCACCGCCTCAGTGGCCACAACCATCTGGGCCTCAGGAGTACCTGGGCAGACAAGCTCTCGGCAGAGGGAGGTCCCGGGCTCTCAGCTGGGCTGGGTTGCCTTTCCTTCAGCACCCATGCTCGGGGGCAGATGGCCAGAGAATAGGCCCAGGACAAGGAACAAAAGGTTGGACAAGCACGGGGCCTGTGACCACAGGGGGCTGGCTGGCTCTGAGGTCCTGGCACAGTGACCACAGGGGGCTGGCTGGCTCTGAGGTCCTGGCACAGAGGCTGCCACCCCAGGTTGCCAGGGAGGCTCCCAGCCAGGCCATCCCCACCTCCCCGGGTCTTCAGAGGCTCTGGGCAGGGCTGGAGGGAACAGTGGGGTAAGAACGGCCCTCGAGGGGCAGAGGGAGCCTGGGGGAGGATGGAGGCATATTCAGGAGAAGACACAGGTGTGGATGCCCAGGGAAGGATGGGGAAGCCATGCCTCTCTCATCCCGGTATCCCTGTCCCACCTCGCCTCAGCCCCTTCCCCTCAGGAGCCCTCCACAGGGACAGGAGCCCTCCACGGGGACAGGAGTCCTGCAGTGGGGAAGGCCCCAGGAAAGAGGGAGGGCTGGGGGCCTCAAGGCAGCCCAGCGGGGATGGGCTGCTGCAGCAGTGCTGGGGCCTAGGGGCAGGGAGGGGCCTGTCTGGAGGATCCCAGCCTTGGGACTGAGGAGTGGCCTCACAGGCCTCCAGCATAGGAAGGGAGCTGTCCCAGGGTACCAGGCACAACCCCGACCCTCCCACCACATCTGCCCAGCCCAGTGGATCCTGCAGGGGCTGACCACTGAGGTGGGTGCCCAAAGCAGGTCCCAGGGACCCAGGGGCTGCGCTGTGCTGCAAGCCCCCCATGCCCTCCATCCACCTGTCTGCGGCCCTGGGGTCCCCCCACAGAGGGTCCCGGGACCCCCTGCCTGTGGCCAGTCGAGGAAGGACCAAGTCCAGGCCCACCGTGGGTGACACAGCTGAGCAGCCCCCACCCCACCAGCACACCAGCACTTCCTGCAGCTTCAGCAGCAGCCTCTCTCCATCCCCAAGGGGCCAAGCATCCACCCGAGGCAGGAGGCCAACCCCCCAGGCTGCCCCGGCCTCAGGCAGGTGACCCTGCAGGGCCAACCAAGGGTCTCAAATGCCCCTGGTGAGGGTCCTGGCCCCCCATCCCAGGAGACACACAGACACGCCCAGGGGAAAATACAGCCCTGGGGACAAGCCACTCCCACACACACACCACCCTGTGCCAGGCAGACAGGGGACCCATGGGTGCCCTGAACCTTGCGTCTCAGTCTCCCCACCCGCGGAGGACACAGCAGGTCGGCACTGCAGAAGAACTGGCTGCCCTGCCCCGCCGAGGGCCCCACTCACCAGACACCCTACGTCAAGGGCACCGAGGGCAACGGCCATGGGGCCACAACCCCACTAACCCACAGGAGGCGCCTCCAGCCCCACTAACCAGTCAGCGGGGAGGGTTCTGCCCAGGAGAGCCAGAGGTTTGGGGAACGAGGAGATGAGGTAGGGCAGGAGGTGAGAGAGGTGGGGAAGCCCTGGGGGAAGGTGGCAAATCCAAGGGTTGCAGGCAGGACCAGAGGCTCCATCAAGGGAAGGGGAGTGTCGGAGGGGTGGGAGGGGGGCTGGTGACTCCACACGTAAACCCCAGCTCACCCCACATCCCCTCGCTCCCATACACCCAGGCCAGGCTCAGAGCTGCTGAGGGGCCCGAGGGCCCTGGGCTGGGGTAGGAGCAGAGTCACTGGTCTCCCTCCTCCTGCCTGTCCTTGAAGGGGACTCAGGTAGGGGGACTTGGCTGGGAACTGTTCCAGACTCCAGGTGACACAGTGGACAGATCTCCCAAACTTGGGTCACCATCCAGCGGGAGGGGACACTGGGTGGACTCAGAGCTGTGCCCTGGAGAGTGACTGCAGGGAGGGGGCGAGGCCCCACCTGTCCCCAGGGCATCCAGGCCTGGGTGGGGACCTCAGGGTCCTCTGCAGCCACGGCCACAAGCCCTGCCTCATCTCTGACACCCTCCTCGGCCTGCAGCAGAGGGCCCAGCGGGACCCTGGCAGAACTGACACCACCACCATGCCAGCCCCACAGCCCCATCTCCCATTGCTGTCCAGGCTGCTGTGTCCTGCAGGCCAGTGGCCGGTGCCCTGGAGGCCACTCCGGCCCCACAGCCAGCCTCTGACCTGAGGGACCCTGCCCTGTACTAAGTCATCTCAGAGCACCGCCCACCCCACCCCAAATCCCAGCACCTGGATAGTGACCCGACTACGCAGGTGACTGTGGCTTTTGCTAAACTACCCGGAGCTGATCTCCACAAATTTAACCAAAAACACAACTTTCCTGTGCAGTCTGGCAACTGTGTCAAAGTCCAATGCCAGGGGCCCTCCTTTCCCTCCACATGAGGCCAGGGGTGGCTCTGGGGAGCAGGTGATACTCTCTTGAGCCCCTGTTCCATCAGTCCCAGCACAGGAGCCACCCAGGGCCTGCCAAGGACAGGGGGCTCCTGACCCCGGGCCAGCACAGCAGGAGAGTAGGCACTGCCCCAACGGAGGAGGGCAGGGCTTGGCCAGGGAGGGGGCTCCCACTTGCTAAGGCCCCAAACTCCCCAGCCCCATCCCCCGTCTTGTAGGGCAGAGGCAGGAGGGTCACCTGAGAGCCAGAACCCCACTTTCACCCAAGCAGCTCGGCCTCAGGAAAGTTGATCCGAACAAACCACATCACTTGCCACTTCACCCACCTTTGATCTGTGGCCCATGTCAGTTAAGAAAGTGGCATTGATTAACTTCAATGATCTTTCATGAATTTTACTGAAAAAAAAAAAATCAAGAAAATTTCAAAAAATTATTAATGATTTCTTTTGCTATCACAAACTCGAAACCCCTACAATTTTATTAAAAGTGCAGGAATGAAAAACAGGAAATCCCTTGCCCTGTCTGGTTCTGAGCCAGAGACCAGAGGCCCGAGGTGCAGCCAGGCCCACTTCCAGTGATGGAATCGAAAATTAATCAGAAGTCATACACTCAAATAAAACACCTCGTATTAAACTCACAGAGTGGGTGCTGACGGGAGCTGCCGGCAGGACGGCCTTCCCAGAGGCCTGGCACCACTCCCCACCTGAAGGCGCAAGGGCCCTCCCAGGCCACGGGAAGCATGGACTCACGGCAGCTCGGCCTGCCCCAGAGGCCATCACCGCCACCGGTGGAAAACCAGGCGACCACAAGCTGGCGGTTCACTGGCACGTGGGTGACAAGGTTCATGACCACAGATGCCCATGCACAAGCCCCAAGCACCGTGACCCCTCGGGAGGGAGGGGACACACAGGGCCAGTGGGGCCCTGACCACCAGCGCCTGGGGTTTCCTAGCAACTAAAGCACTCAAGGCGCCCTGCACGGCAGATTTTTCATGAGGAACACAGACCCGTGTTAATCTGTTTGCAGATTCATGTTTAATAAAATGCCCTTCTGAAATGCATCCAAAATAGAGAAGCTTTCTCCCGAACTGCAAAAGCCATAAAAATGCAAAATACTTCTTTAGGAAAAACTGAATCAAAATTATGCCTCAATGTTCCAAGTCACATGAAACCTACTCTGTGCCCCAGGGCAGGTGCAGGCGGCAGCAGTGGCCCAAACCAGCCCCCGCCGGCCTCAGTTGTTCTCGATCTGCTCCAGGTCCAGCTCCCCGCGGGCCTGGAGGAAGACACCCTCCTCCCCAGCGCTGTCCCCATCACTGGGGTCCCCGTTGCTCCTGCTCGAGCCATCACCGGTCACCGACTCCCTTGAGGCCCACAGGTTGGGGTGGGCAGGGCTGGTCCTGAGGCCCCTCTGGCTGCAGCCAGGCATGGTGATGCCAGGGAGGCCCCGGGATTCACACGGGGAGGACAGAACCATCTTCACTGGGGCGTCATCCTCATCGTCATCTTCGTAATTGAGGGAGCAAAGGCTTTTTGAATTTTTTAAAGTCTGCAATAGAAAAGATATGGGCTTAAAGCATTTCTAGCAGATCACTTGGGAGGCAGCGTCCCACCAACCCATCGAGGGCTCGGTGTGCTGGAGCTCTGGCCATCCCCAAGACCACACAAAGCAGGGGCTTGTCCCCTGTACACCAGTCACAGCTTGCAGACCCCCTTCCTCAGACCCTGCCCACACACGCCCTGGCCCAACCAGCTGGGTCCCTCAGCTCTCCTCAGCCCCTGCCCAGCTGGTGTGGGCAGAGACGCACAGCCTGGCCCTGCCCAGACCCAATGGACCAGGCTGGTGGGCACCTGACACCTAAGCAAGCCTCAAGACGCCCAGGAGCTCACAGGGGACAGCCTTGTCCCAGTCTTGTCTTCGGCAGGTGGCCTGGCCAGGGAGGGTGCCTTGTGCCTCCACTTCCGACAACAGCCCCACCCAGCGCCGCTCTCAGCAAGCACCTCACAGCCACCTCTGAGGCCCTGCAGTGGCTCTGTCTCTCCTCAACCTGCCCCCATAAGGCCCCTGGAACCCCACCTTGTCAATGTCCTCAGGGGCCCGCCAGACGCAGCTCCCACCTTCTCTGTCCTTGTACCTCCTCTCCTAATAGTTACTCTAATAGAAACGCATGCAAATCCTTCTCATCTCAAAATACGTGCAACAGACAGGTGCACACACAGGGGTCTCCCCTGGGCAAGGCCCACCCGCGTCCCAGGCGGGCAGCTTCCAGTACCTCCATGTCATGCCCAGGCCTGTCCACAGCAGGTCCCTGAGTGCCAGGCTCCGGCCCTCCCTCTGCTCTCTGGAGGTGCCACCACCACTCCCTTCTCACTCTGCCCCCCAGTCAAATCTCACTCAGTGGCCCCCCTTCCCAAGGCCTGTTAGGGATAAGGGGTCCCCCCAGGTTGCACCCCCGAACCGGAGTGCTCTGAGCAGCAGGCAGTCTCCATCCACCCCGGCGTGCTCTCTTGGGCGTCTCCAGGGCCCTGAGACCCAGCAGGTGTGTCCAGCTGGGGCATGAGTCCATGGCCATGGCCAGGGCAGCAGCCCCTCAGCACGCCTGGGCCCCCACCCCTGCCACCTCCCAGTCCTTGCCTCAAGTCCCCTGTCTGTGGCGCCCAGCACCGTCCACGCCACTCGTCCACTGCCACTGGGAGCAGCCTTCCTACCCAGCCCCACCTCCCCGGTCACCTCCAGGCCTCCTCAGGGTCAAGGTTCCCCTCCTGGACCACACCCACGCTGGCCTCAGACACCTCACCTCATGGCTCTGGCTTGTGAGGACGCGTGGGTGAGGGCACGTGGGTGCCATCAACCACACCTGCAGGGCACAGGGGCACTGTGATGCCGATGACGAGACCGCAATGACATAGCAACCTCAGCCACCTAAAGTTATGACCTAGAGCACAAGCTCACCAATTCCACAGGACTCAAGAAACTCCCCAAACCACCTTCTCCAGAGCAAGGAAATGCCCCACAGACAGGAACCTCAAATACGTCCTGGAAACACTTCCAGCGACTGATTTTTATAAAAGCACATGGCCCTCGGGGACAGAGCTCCTTTTTTCTAAGGCTATTATTGGGCTCTAAAAGACAAATGGACGCCGGGCGCGGTGGCTCACGCCTGTAATCCCAGCACTTTGGGAGGCCGAGGCAGGTGGATCACGAGGTCAGGAGATCGAGACCATCCTGGCTAACACAGTGAAACTCCGTCTCTACTAAAAATACAAAAAATTAGCCGGGCGAGGTGGCAGGCGCCTGTAGTCCCAGCTACTCAGGAGGCTGAGGCAGGAGAATGGTGTGAACCCGGGAGGCGGAGCTTGCAGTGAGCTGAGATCGGGTCACTGCACCCCAGCCTGGGCGACAGCCAGACTCCGTCTCAAAACAAACAAACAAATAAATAAAAGACAAATTGACATATTTTCTGTCTTTGTGGTTCTACTATAAAAAGTGAATCACTGAGAAGTAAAATTCTAAAGAATAATTTTTTTTTTTTTTTTTGAGACAGGTTCTTGCTCTGTTCCCAGGCTGGAGTGCAGTGGTGCAATCACAGCTCACTGCAGCCTCAACCTCCCAGGCTCAAGCAATTCTCCCACCTCAGCCTCTCAAGTGGCTGAGACAATAGGTACACACCATCATGCCGGTCTAATTTTTGTATTTTTTGTAGCGATGGGGTCTCACTTTGTTGCCCAGGCTGGTCTCAAACTCCTGGGCTCAAACAGTCCTCCCGCCTCAGTCTCCCAAAGTGCTGGGATTACAAGCATAAGCCACCACGCCCAGCCCCATTCAAATCTTTAAAGATACAACTGGCCACATGTTTTGGTCAGAAAATAAGGATGCATAATTTCTTTTTCATTCAAATCAAAGTGAATTTGCCCATCGACATCACTTGTACACACAAGCCCCAGGGCTGGCATGAGGATGTGGCTGGTCTCCTGGGCCCCTGCTGGATGGCATGGAGGCCCGGGTCTCGCTGGCTAGGTCTGGTGCCACCCATGACCTTGCAGACTCTGGCTGCCGTGCTGCCCACTCAGGATGGCCTCCAACCCACGGCACCGCCAGGCTGCACTACGCATGCACCAGAGGTGGCTGGGACACTACACACCTTCGGGGACCCAGTTTCCTTCCATTTCAAACCACAACATTTTGTTTTGATTCAGGGTCAACCCTCTGGACCGAATGCTCTGACCTGACAGATGGCGCAAGAGCCACTCGAGGCCTCGGACACGGGACTCGCACTCGCAGGTGCAGCTGTGCGGCTAGTGCGTGAAAACAGCAGGCTCTGAACGCCTCTGGATGACAGTCGGTGGAGGAGAAACAACTGCTGCCCACAGACACGGCAGCTGCAGAACTAAGCGCCCAACACCGCTAGCGAAGGCCACATGGAGCTGAAGGGGCCACCCATACTGTAGAGACCATGGAAACCGAGGCCCATGGGGCCGGTGCTGGCCTGGACTGCACCGCCCGTCCGCCTCATGCCCCCGTCCCTTGGCACCAGCCCCGGGGCTCTGTCCCAGCTCCTGCTACCATCACGCTGGTTTGATGGTCACCTCCATCTGAGGTTAAACACAGAACAGTTGTCCAAAACATAAAGGTCAGGCCTTCAAGTTCTAAATCAGGCTCCAAAGTGCAGAGGCCTTTCAAACTGTGTGCGAAGCCCTTCAGTCAGTCTGAGGAGTGCAGGGGCCCCAGCTGACAGCTGGAGGGCCTCCAGCATCTGAAGTGGGTTAACTCAGCTACCAGAAGCCGGTGAGACCCTGGAAGGTCAGGGACGCCTCCTATGAGCTGACCTGACGTCACTCAGCAAACGTCCAGGCCCTGTCTCAGCCACATCTGTACCTACCCCTTGCCAAAGCCTCTGGCTTTTGCCAAACTGAAACACCGGTTTACTCTCATGAAAGTGCAAGCTCCCTCCACCTTGTGGGTGGGGCTCACGTGGTCCCCTCACAGCCAAGGCGGCCCTGGCCACTGGGCCACTCTGCAGCAGGGCTAGGCAGCAGTCAAGGGTGGGGAGGGCTCCCCATGGCCCTGGCAGTGCCTGGAGCACAGCACAGTGCGTGTTGAAACAGGCAGCCAAGCAGAGCCAAGGACCTCCCGCCTGCCAAAGGGAGGAACAGGCCAGTCAAGCCAAGCAACAGAGGCCCACAGGGCGCAGGAATGTCCACGGCAGGGGCAGGGACAGAGATGGCCACAGCAAGCTCCATGCACGTGTCAGGCGAGGAGGCCAGTGTGAGAAGAACTGACACCCTAGACCCCTTGTTGCCTCTGGTGAGCTCCCTCCCAACCCTGCAGAAGAGCGGTTCATTAGGATAGTACAGACTGGAGCATTCTAGACAGGGGAGCTGGCCGACGGCACATGAAAAAACGGGCTGAGTGAGCCCTGCTCAGACAACTTGCTTGGGCTGTGAGGGGTGCACAGCCTTACAAAGCCAGGAGGCTGGAGGCCAAAGATCCTCCTTGTCTCCCCAGCCCTCCACACAGAGGCAGGAGGAGGGGACTCTCCGCCCTGACCGTGCAGCCACTGATGGCGTCGGCTCCTCACCCCAAGGGGGATGGGGCAGCCGGTGCCCGTCAGGAGGTGTGGAGTGAGTGCCCAGCAGTATGTTCCCTGCCCAGCACTCGCTTCCACCACCTCTGACCACCCTGGGCGTGGCTCCTGGAGAGAAGGTCTGAGAAAACGAGCAAGAAAAATCAGCAGCTGCAAATTCCAGATTTTCAGTCTGTGCTGTCTCAAACATTCCGTGTTCTTGATGGTCCCTGCTATAGTTTGAACGTGTCCCTCCAAATCTCTACCATGGTGCTGGGAGGTGATCAGGCCCTGCGGGCCTACACAGGACACGAGTGCCTCATAAAGGGCTGGAGGGAACCAGCCTCAGTCCTCCGCGTCCTCCACCTCCTCCGCCAGGTGAGGAGACAGCCACAAGGGCCATTTTGGAAGCAGAGGCCAGGCTCTCACCAGACGCCAGACATGCTGGGGCCTGGCTCTTGGGCTCCCAGCCTCCAGAACTCGGAGAAATACATTTCTCTTATTTATAAGTGACCTCGTCAGTGGTATTTTGTTACAGCAGCACAAATGAACTAAGTCAGTCCTTTTCTTGGTACCAGGAGCTGCTCTAAGCTTTTGGTTTTTTTCATCCAGGAGGCACAAAAAAAACAGCTCAGCAGGTGCAGGAGAGGCCCCCATGGAGGACAAGCCTCGTGCCCTTGTGACTGAGGCTGTGGAAGGCACCATCTGCTCACTAAACCCAAGACCTCCAAAAACGCAGCAGGCCTGAAGGTGTAAACACGGCCACACGCACCTCCAGCTTGTCCTTAGGTTCTAGGCTGCGAGGTAACTGCTGGCCCCGAAGCTGCCTGCCTGTCTGAAGAACTCCTCAGGCTCCAGGTGACCCGGCTGCGGGGCCACACAGGGAGCTGTTTCTTTCTCTGCAGCAGCCTCGGTCTCTCTAGAGGCGGCTGAGCGCCTTCGCTACGTGGCAAAAGCTTTGCAAAGCCCTAAAAGCACACGCTTT